AATTTCCCTATAATATATTTATATATTAATCTGAATTTTAATAAATCTTATAACTAAACAAAAAAATATAATTAGAAAACTCACTTCTGATTTTCTTTCATAAATATGGCTAGTGACAACATCTCTTGCAAAACCAAAGTCTGTAATTTTGCAAACTTTATTTTCTCCAATTAATATATTTCTAGCTGCTAAATCTCTGTGTATAATCTAATAGATAAAATATATTATTAACATATATACATTTTTATATATTTATTGAAGTATACATTATACAAACAAAATCAAAAACATCTTACCCCTTTAGAAGTTATATATTCCATTCCTCTTGCTATTTGATATGCAAAGGAAGTGAGATCTTGTGATGTGAGATGTTTATCTGTGGCAGGAAAATTACCATAATATCTTTCAGCTCTACTCTCACGTAAATATGATTGCAGTTTTCCATAGGGAACATATTCCAGAATTATAAAGACTGGATCTATATGAATAAAAATTATATTTAATTTACGTTTATTCCACTCCTATTCAGAAGTTTGTTTTAAGGAAAACTCTTACTCTTTTATAAAAAAATTTTCCTCAAACATAAACTTTAAATAATATTAAGGTTTTCTTAAAGAAATCAAAGTAATGTAATATTTAAATATTTTTAAAACCTTAATTTTTAGTATATCTGTGTGTGTTTTCTCACAGACATTCTGAATTTCTTGTCATTAAATTTACAATTTTTAAAATCAATGTGTTTGAATGAAATGGTTTATCAGCATATCACTGGTCAAAATCATTTATATAAAGCATTCAGTTAGGAATAAGTACAGCACAAATGCAAATTAAAATGTTTAATAAGATAATTAAATTTAAAAAACTATTAGCAACATAATATGTTCAATTATATTCCACCGTGTTATTTTTGACATAGAAATTTACAGTACATTACCAGATTCAAAATAAAGCATTTGTAGTGTACTGTTGCTATATGACATCACTGGTTTCCTCATGCTTGGCTATCAAATGTCTGACATTGTGTATTTTTTTTCCTTGTTCATTGTTCGTAGTCTCCAGATATTACTTGTATTTTTAATTAAAATAAAACTTTCCCAAGGTTTTTTCATGAATTTCATAACAGTGCTGAAGAAAATTCATTATTAAAGTTGCTTGAAATGGTTTTATACTAGTATCCAAAATGAATATATTTAAAATAGTCAAATTAATCTATGTTTGAAAATATTGTATATTTAAACAAATGCATTTTCATTTAAAGTATTAGCTTTAATGTTCATCCAAAAGACAGAAATTTTGAGCTTTATAAGTAATAAGTTATCAAAAGCTTCTGTAATTATATATAAAATACAACTATAAACTTTACCTTTTTCTGTGCAACATCCTAATAATGTTACTATATTTGGATGTGGATCAAGCAGTTTCAAAATTTCCAATTCATTGATTAAGTCTTTTTCCTCTTTCTCTGTTGAATTTTCTAGAAATAAATGAGAAAAAGTGTATTAATTTTTTATATTGATATTTAAAATATTTAACTAAATAGCTTAATAATTTATTATGTAAATAATTTTTGCATAATATAATGCCTCTATAATAAATATAGTCAATAAGTTACACAAATATATGGATGAACAAATATTTATATATATAAATATTGTATATGTATCAATCTGTATAAATATTATTATACTCAAATAAGTATATAAACATGTACAAGTGCATGTATGTATACATTTATGATATGTACTGTACTGTACAGTACATGCAACTCAAATTTAATTAAATTTATTTCAAAAGTGAAAAAATGTCAAAAAAAGTAAAGTCACTGTGTTTCTATTTAAAATATATTTGAAAATACATGTATATATAATAATTTTATTCAACATTTAATAAATCTTAATTTTTGTCTGATTTCTTTTATAATCTAACTATTAAATGTAACTAAACAAAAATTAAGACAACATCTAAAACTTTATCTATTTGAGTGAAATATTGAAATTGAAAGTATTTTAAATATTGAAAGTAATTCATCCAAAATTTGATCATGATTATATGATTGATTATTTAGTCATGATTATATGATTGATTATTTGGTCATGATTATATGATTGATTATTTGATCATGATTATATGAAAATATGGATTAAAAATATACATTTCAATTGAAATACAATAACTTCAACGAAAACGTTTGATATAAAGTTTTTCATGAAAATATTTTCCTTCATCCTGTACCTATAAAGAAAATAAAAACACAAATAAATGTTTTATTGTAAATAGGCTTATTTATGAAATTTCTAAACTGCAAAACTTTGTACACTGTAATATCTGAAAATTCAATTTTGTATATGACCATAAAGGAATAAAAATTATTATTTAGAGTCAAGTTCCAATTTTTTTTATAATTTAAAAAATTTTTCCTATAGCTTTGCTTATGTTATGTAAATTGATCATTTAAATATATTGTTTATCTTGTTTATTCCACTCCTATTCAGAAGTTTGTTTTAAGGAAAACTCTCACTCTTTTATAAAAAAATTTTCCTCAAAATATAAAATAGTAAAAATAAATCAGATAAGTTTAAATGTGGAATCAATAGAATGTTTAATGTGTTTGATAATAAATTTTCTGTAGCAGGCTATTTATATTACATAGTGAATTTATAAGTAAAATAATTTCAAATTTTAATTTTTAATACAAAGTTTTGTCAAATTATATTTTAATTAATAATACATATATTTGATTTTATAATTGTAGTAATGCATTTACTAAAGATGTTTTTTGAATAGCACTGTAAAATGTTTTTTTTTATAAAACTATACAATAATTATTAAATAATAATGAGGACTTAATTTATCCATTATACATCTGCATTAGATCTTATATTTAATGCATTTCAGATGTATGAAAATATGTTTCAGCATTTTCTTTTTAATGTTGCTATAAAATAATTCTATTACTATTCTGAAGATTAAAAACAATTATCATCAACAAGACAGTTGAATTTTTACCTTGTTTATGAGTGAGTTAACATTATATGCTATTTTCATATTTTAATCCTAAAATTTAACTTATTAAAATGCATCAGGTAAATTACTATTTGTTAACAAACATATCTTTCAGAAGAATTCATTTGTGTATACTGTATATAAATCTAGAATAAATTTGGGGAATATTTTAAACAAATTTCCCTTAATTTTTCTTAGAATGTTTTGATTCTAATTGTTTCCAATTTATTATTATTTCATAAAATTGGTCTAAAAATACAAAATAAGCTTAGAAAAAATAGAAAATTTCTGGAACAATCTAGTAGTATGCTTACAAAAATATTTTTCTAAAAAATAAACTATTTAAAATGATGGAATCAGATTAATTTTCCAATCTTATGTAATTGTATTGTAGAAAAATACACAAAATTTGAATTTTCATGTATTTTTCTACAATACAATTACATAAGATTAGAATACTTTTCTAATTTCCAATTTCATTTACAATTTAATTAAATTAAATCATTTTAAAATATTTATTTCAAAATAAATAAAAATATTAAATATTAATTATTTTTAATGCATAACTTTTTCATATATCGTTATATTATATATAAATTCATACATATATTTAAACAAATATATGTATTAAATTTTTTAAACAATGTTAACATATACAACAACCTAGTACACTTGTAATATCAAACAATTTTCCAGATTTTTTATACAATGCTGAAGTAAAAAAAAAAAAAAGCAGTAGAAAAAAAGTGGCTGAAAGCCATGGAGAATCATGGATACTAAAGTTGTCCCCAGTCAGTGGTGTGAGTGACCAGTATGGTTATATCTGAATTGATTAATTAATAGAAAACTCTGAGAACAAAAATTGGACAGAGGTCTAGGTAGTGCAACTATAATAAGCAGTAGTTGAGTGTTTAAATTCCACTCTGGCCAATCTTTTCTTCCAGAAATTTTAAGTTAAAAATTAATTTATTTCTAGTTATTAAATTTATCATGAGATGGTGGCTTAAATGCTTAGCTCTAGCCAAATTGCTTAGCATTTGATTATTAATTAAACTTAATATAGCCCAATAAAAAATCCAGCAGCTAATTAATAAATCAATACAAAGCAATTTGGCTAGAGGTTGGCAACAAAGCTGTCATTTCATGATAAATTTAATAATAATTCTAAATTAAAATTGNATTAATATATTTCTAGCTGCTAAATCTCTGTGTATAATCTAATAGATAAAATATATTATTAACATATATACATTTTTATATATTTATTGAAGTATACATTATACAAACAAAATCAAAAACATCTTACCCCTTTAGAAGTTATATATTCCATTCCTCTTGCTATTTGATATGCAAAGGAAGTGAGATCTTGTGATGTGAGATGTTTATCTGTGGCAGGAAAATTACCATAATATCTTTCAGCTCTACTCTCACGTAAATATGATTGCAGTTTTCCATAGGGAACATATTCCAGAATTATAAAGACTGGATCTATATGAATAAAAATTATATTTAATTTACGTTTATTCCACTCCTATTCAGAAGTTTGTTTTAAGGAAAACTCTTACTCTTTTATAAAAAAATTTTCCTCAAACATAAACTTTAAATAATATTAAGGTTTTCTTAAAGAAATCAAAGTAATGTAATATTTAAATATTTTTAAAACCTTAATTTTTAGTATATCTGTGTGTGTTTTCTCACAGACATTCTGAATTTCTTGTCATTAAATTTACAATTTTTAAAATCAATGTGTTTGAATGAAATGGTTTATCAGCATATCACTGGTCAAAATCATTTATATAAAGCATTCAGTTAGGAATAAGTACAGCACAAATGCAAATTAAAATGTTTAATAAGATAATTAAATTTAAAAAACTATTAGCAACATAATATGTTCAATTATATTCCACCGTGTTATTTTTGACATAGAAATTTACAGTACATTACCAGATTCAAAATAAAGCATTTGTAGTGTACTGTTGCTATATGACATCACTGGTTTCCTCATGCTTGGCTATCAAATGTCTGACATTGTGTATTTTTTTCCTTGTTCATTGTTCGTAGTCTCCAGATATTACTTGTATTTTTAATTAAAATAAAACTTTCCCAAGGTTTTTTCATGAATTTCATAACAGTGCTGAAGAAAATTCATTATTAAAGTTGCTTGAAATGGTTTTATACTAGTATCCAAAATGAATATATTTAAAATAGTCAAATTAATCTATGTTTGAAAATATTGTATATTTAAACAAATGCATTTTCATTTAAAGTATTAGCTTTAATGTTCATCCAAAAGACAGAAATTTTGAGCTTTATAAGTAATAAGTTATCAAAAGCTTCTGTAATTATATATAAAATACAACTATAAACTTTACCTTTTTCTGTGCAACATCCTAATAATGTTACTATATTTGGATGTGGATCAAGCAGTTTCAAAATTTCCAATTCATTGATTAAGTCTTTTTCCTCTTTCTCTGTTGAATTTTCTAGAAATAAATGAGAAAAAGTGTATTAATTTTTTATATTGATATTTAAAATATTTAACTAAATAGCTTAATAATTTATTATGTAAATAATTTTTGCATAATATAATGCCTCTATAATAAATATAGTCAATAAGTTACACAAATATATGGATGAACAAATATTTATATATATAAATATTGTATATGTATCAATCTGTATAAATATTATTATACTCAAATAAGTATATAAACATGTACAAGTGCATGTATGTATACATTTATGATATGTACTGTACTGTACAGTACATGCAACTCAAATTTAATTAAATTTATTTCAAAAGTGAAAAAATGTCAAAAAAAGTAAAGTCACTGTGTTTCTATTTAAAATATATTTGAAAATACATGTATATATAATAATTTTATTCAACATTTAATAAATCTTAATTTTTGTCTGATTTCTTTTATAATCTAACTATTAAATGTAACTAAACAAAAATTAAGACAACATCTAAAACTTTATCTATTTGAGTGAAATATTGAAATTGAAAGTATTTTAAATATTGAAAGTAATTCATCCAAAATTTGATCATGATTATATGATTGATTATTTAGTCATGATTATATGATTGATTATTTGGTCATGATTATATGATTGATTATTTGATCATGATTATATGAAAATATGGATTAAAAATATACATTTCAATTGAAATACAATAACTTCAACGAAAACGTTTGATATAAAGTTTTTCATGAAAATATTTTCCTTCATCCTGTACCTATAAAGAAAATAAAAACACAAATAAATGTTTTATTGTAAATAGGCTTATTTATGAAATTTCTAAACTGCAAAACTTTGTACACTGTAATATCTGAAAATTCAATTTTGTATATGACCATAAAGGAATAAAAATTATTATTTAGAGTCAAGTTCCAATTTTTTTTATAATTTAAAAAATTTTTCCTATAGCTTTGCTTATGTTATGTAAATTGATCATTTAAATATATTGTTTATCTTGTTTATTCCACTCCTATTCAGAAGTTTGTTTTAAGGAAAACTCTCACTCTTTTATAAAAAAATTTTCCTCAAAATATAAAATAGTAAAAATAAATCAGATAAGTTTAAATGTGGAATCAATAGAATGTTTAATGTGTTTGATAATAAATTTTCTGTAGCAGGCTATTTATATTACATAGTGAATTTATAAGTAAAATAATTTCAAATTTTAATTTTTAATACAAAGTTTTGTCAAATTATATTTTAATTAATAATACATATATTTGATTTTATAATTGTAGTAATGCATTTACTAAAGATGTTTTTTGAATAGCACTGTAAAATGTTTTTTTTTATAAAACTATACAATAATTATTAAATAATAATGAGGACTTAATTTATCCATTATACATCTGCATTAGATCTTATATTTAATGCATTTCAGATGTATGAAAATATGTTTCAGCATTTTCTTTTTAATGTTGCTATAAAATAATTCTATTACTATTCTGAAGATTAAAAACAATTATCATCAACAAGACAGTTGAATTTTTACCTTGTTTATGAGTGAGTTAACATTATATGCTATTTTCATATTTTAATCCTAAAATTTAACTTATTAAAATGCATCAGGTAAATTACTATTTGTTAACAAACATATCTTTCAGAAGAATTCATTTGTGTATACTGTATATAAATCTAGAATAAATTTGGGGAATATTTTAAACAAATTTCCCTTAATTTTTCTTAGAATGTTTTGATTCTAATTGTTTCCAATTTATTATTATTTCATAAAATTGGTCTAAAAATACAAAATAAGCTTAGAAAAAATAGAAAATTTCTGGAACAATCTAGTAGTATGCTTACAAAAATATTTTTCTAAAAAATAAACTATTTAAAATGATGGAATCAGATTAATTTTCCAATCTTATGTAATTGTATTGTAGAAAAATACACAAAATTTGAATTTTCATGTATTTTTCTACAATACAATTACATAAGATTAGAATACTTTTCTAATTTCCAATTTCATTTACAATTTAATTAAATTAAATCATTTTAAAATATTTATTTCAAAATAAATAAAAATATTAAATATTAATTATTTTTAATGCATAACTTTTTCATATATCGTTATATTATATATAAATTCATACATATATTTAAACAAATATATGTATTAAATTTTTTAAACAATGTTAACATATACAACAACCTAGTACACTTGTAATATCAAACAATTTTCCAGATTTTTTATACAATGCTGAAGTAAAAAAAAAAAAAAGCAGTAGAAAAAAAGTGGCTGAAAGCCATGGAGAATCATGGATACTAAAGTTGTCCCCAGTCAGTGGTGTGAGTGACCAGTATGGTTATATCTGAATTGATTAATTAATAGAAAACTCTGAGAACAAAAATTGGACAGAGGTCTAGGTAGTGCAACTATAATAAGCAGTAGTTGAGTGTTTAAATTCCACTCTGGCCAATCTTTTCTTCCAGAAATTTTAAGTTAAAAATTAATTTATTTCTAGTTATTAAATTTATCATGAGATGGTGGCTTAAATGCTTAGCTCTAGCCAAATTGCTTAGCATTTGATTATTAATTAAACTTAATATAGCCCAATAAAAAATCCAGTGGATTATTTAATAAATATTTTGTAAATATATAGATATACATAAGTATGTGTTTAATTGCAATAATTTAATTTCAAATTTATAATACTTGAAATTTCTTCATTATAAATAGTTTATATACTATAAAAATAAACTATTATAATTTTCATAAAATATTTTTTAAAAAATGCATGCATGCATGTTTAAAAATATTTGTGTATCAATGATGCCAATATTATTATTAGAGTTCATTTTCTTCATAAAACTGTATGAATAATAATATTTGTCATTCAAATTTTGTTAATTCTATTTAAACTATTAGGTTTCAATATTATTGAGGATTACAAATGTGTTTCATTTACAAATAACTTTTTAGTAAAATATACATTCCAATTCAAAAAGCAATTTATGGTACAAGATAACTGATATGGTTCTCCACCAGAAAATACCAACTAAATGTCTAAAATACTAACAAAAAGTAATTCTGTAATTGATAAATAACATACAGTATCAAGGGCATCGCCAAGGAGGGGCAGGGGGCAGGGGGGGCAGCTGCCCCCTAGAAATTTGAAAAAATTATTTACATGCTAAGTTTTAATTAAAATAATCTGCTTAGGTTTATTGTAAGTTTAAAAAAAATGTTTTAATTACAATATTTTTTCTCCAGTATATAGTAAATGATTTAAAACTCAAAAAAAAGTAAAGTCACTGTGTTTCTATTTAAAATATATTTGAAAATACATGTATATATAATAATTTTATTCAACATTTAATAAATCTTAATTTTTGTCTGATTTCTTTTATAATCTAACTATTAAATGTAACTAAACAAAAATTAAGACAACATCTAAAACTTTATCTATTTGAGTGAAATATTGAAATTGAAAGTATTTTAAATATTGAAAGTAATTCATCCAAAATTTGATCATGATTATATGATTGATTATTTAGTCATGATTATATGATTGATTATTTGGTCATGATTATATGATTGATTATTTGATCATGATTATATGAAAATATGGATTAAAAATATACATTTCAATTGAAATACAATAACTTCAACGAAAACGTTTGATATAAAGTTTTTCATGAAAATATTTTCCTTCATCCTGTACCTATAAAGAAAATAAAAACACAAATAAATGTTTTATTGTAAATAGGCTTATTTATGAAATTTCTAAACTGCAAAACTTTGTACACTGTAATATCTGAAAATTCAATTTTGTATATGACCATAAAGGAATAAAAATTATTATTTAGAGTCAAGTTCCAATTTTTTTTATAATTTAAAAAATTTTTCCTATAGCTTTGCTTATGTTATGTAAATTGATCATTTAAATATATTGTTTATCTTGTTTATTCCACTCCTATTCAGAAGTTTGTTTTAAGGAAAACTCTCACTCTTTTATAAAAAAATTTTCCTCAAAATATAAAATAGTAAAAATAAATCAGATAAGTTTAAATGTGGAATCAATAGAATGTTTAATGTGTTTGATAATAAATTTTCTGTAGCAGGCTATTTATATTACATAGTGAATTTATAAGTAAAATAATTTCAAATTTTAATTTTTAATACAAAGTTTTGTCAAATTATATTTTAATTAATAATACATATATTTGATTTTATAATTGTAGTAATGCATTTACTAAAGATGTTTTTTGAATAGCACTGTAAAATGTTTTTTTTTATAAAACTATACAATAATTATTAAATAATAATGAGGACTTAATTTATCCATTATACATCTGCATTAGATCTTATATTTAATGCATTTCAGATGTATGAAAATATGTTTCAGCATTTTCTTTTTAATGTTGCTATAAAATAATTCTATTACTATTCTGAAGATTAAAAACAATTATCATCAACAAGACAGTTGAATTTTTACCTTGTTTATGAGTGAGTTAACATTATATGCTATTTTCATATTTTAATCCTAAAATTTAACTTATTAAAATGCATCAGGTAAATTACTATTTGTTAACAAACATATCTTTCAGAAGAATTCATTTGTGTATACTGTATATAAATCTAGAATAAATTTGGGGAATATTTTAAACAAATTTCCCTTAATTTTTCTTAGAATGTTTTGATTCTAATTGTTTCCAATTTATTATTATTTCATAAAATTGGTCTAAAAATACAAAATAAGCTTAGAAAAAATAGAAAATTTCTGGAACAATCTAGTAGTATGCTTACAAAAATATTTTTCTAAAAAATAAACTATTTAAAATGATGGAATCAGATTAATTTTCCAATCTTATGTAATTGTATTGTAGAAAAATACACAAAATTTGAATTTTCATGTATTTTTCTACAATACAATTACATAAGATTAGAATACTTTTCTAATTTCCAATTTCATTTACAATTTAATTAAATTAAATCATTTTAAAATATTTATTTCAAAATAAATAAAAATATTAAATATTAATTATTTTTAATGCATAACTTTTTCATATATCGTTATATTATATATAAATTCATACATATATTTAAACAAATATATGTATTAAATTTTTTAAACAATGTTAACATATACAACAACCTAGTACACTTGTAATATCAAACAATTTTCCAGATTTTTTATACAATGCTGAAGTAAAAAAAAAAAAAAGCAGTAGAAAAAAAGTGGCTGAAAGCCATGGAGAATCATGGATACTAAAGTTGTCCCCAGTCAGTGGTGTGAGTGACCAGTATGGTTATATCTGAATTGATTAATTAATAGAAAACTCTGAGAACAAAAATTGGACAGAGGTCTAGGTAGTGCAACTATAATAAGCAGTAGTTGAGTGTTTAAATTCCACTCTGGCCAATCTTTTCTTCCAGAAATTTTAAGTTAAAAATTAATTTATTTCTAGTTATTAAATTTATCATGAGATGGTGGCTTAAATGCTTAGCTCTAGCCAAATTGCTTAGCATTTGATTATTAATTAAACTTAATATAGCCCAATAAAAAATCCAGTGGATTATTTAATAAATATTTTGTAAATATATAGATATACATAAGTATGTGTTTAATTGCAATAATTTAATTTCAAATTTATAATACTTGAAATTTCTTCATTATAAATAGTTTATATACTATAAAAATAAACTATTATAATTTTCATAAAATATTTTTTAAAAAATGCATGCATGCATGTTTAAAAATATTTGTGTATCAATGATGCCAATATTATTATTAGAGTTCATTTTCTTCATAAAACTGTATGAATAATAATATTTGTCATTCAAATTTTGTTAATTCTATTTAAACTATTAGGTTTCAATATTATTGAGGATTACAAATGTGTTTCATTTACAAATAACTTTTTAGTAAAATATACATTCCAATTCAAAAAGCAATTTATGGTACAAGATAACTGATATGGTTCTCCACCAGAAAATACCAACTAAATGTCTAAAATACTAACAAAAAGTAATTCTGTAATTGATAAATAACATACAGTATCAAGGGCATCGCCAAGGAGGGGCAGGGGGCAGGGGGGGCAGCTGCCCCCTAGAAATTTGAAAAAATTATTTACATGCTAAGTTTTAATTAAAATAATCTGCTTAGGTTTATTGTAAGTTTAAAAAAAATGTTTTAATTACAATATTTTTTCTCCAGTATATAGTAAATGATTTAAAACTTTATGAATTGTTTTTATTTTACCTACATACAATTCATATCCTCTATCAATTTATATCATCTTGCCCCCCTTGGTCCATTGGCTGGCTATGCCATTGTACAGTGTAATAGTTTTAAATCTTACTTTTCATTGTTTTAACTGCTACAATTGCTGGCATTTGTCTTGTTTTACTAGTCTTGGCATCACATTTCCAAACCTGTCCAAAACATCCTTCTCCCAAAATCCCAAGAAAATGAAGATGGTGTCTTGGATATTCCCACTTTTGATCTTTTAACATTGTCTAAAAATATTAAAATAATCAAAATTAAATTAGAATAATAAAAATCAATTTATTTTTTGAAGTTTATTTCTTTATTTAAACTTACTCTAGTGTAATTATGGGGTGTAGTTAATGGTGTTAACATTCTGTGATGATAAAATGCATTTCCAAAGTAATTAAAATCTGTTGTAGTTATTTCAGAACTTTCTCTTCTCATTGATACTTTTTTATGAACCTAAATTATTATTATTATTATAATTAGTAAACATAAAATTACCAAAATACAAGAAGTTATATTATTCATATAATTGCTATTGAAAATAGTTTCAAAAAACAATAATACAGCTATAGCAAGATGACTGAGCAATGAAAACTAAATAAGACATTCATTATAATTAACTTATTATTAAATTCTATGAAACATTATAAACATAAAATTATATTTTCTCAACAATCCACAAACCTTTTTATAACAGTGTTGTGTCCTATAACAATCTTCACCAACGTTTTCCGTGAAGATTGTTATAGGACACAACACTGTTATAAAAAGGTTTTGTGGATTGTTGTTACTCAATGCAGTGTTAAGATTAGTAGTTGTTTTGTATATTTTCTCATTTTGTTTTTATAAAACAAGATATATGAATATTAAGGTTCATGATATCATATACGGAAAATAGCTAATTAATATATAAGAAATATTNGTCCATTGGCTGGCTATGCCATTGTACAGTGTAATAGTTTTAAATCTTACTTTTCATTGTTTTAACTGCTACAATTGCTGGCATTTGTCTTGTTTTACTAGTCTTGGCATCACATTTCCAAACCTGTCCAAAACATCCTTCTCCCAAAATCCCAAGAAAATGAAGATGGTGTCTTGGATATTCCCACTTTTGATCTTTTAACATTGTCTAAAAATATTAAAATAATCAAAATTAAATTAGAATAATAAAAATCAATTTATTTTTTGAAGTTTATTTCTTTATTTAAACTTACTCTAGTGTAATTATGGGGTGTAGTTAATGGTGTTAACATTCTGTGATGATAAAATGCATTTCCAAAGTAATTAAAATCTGTTGTAGTTATTTCAGAACTTTCTCTTCTCATTGATACTTTTTTATGAACCTAAATTATTATTATTATTATAATTAGTAAACATAAAATTACCAAAATACAAGAAGTTATATTATTCATATAATTGCTATTGAAAATAGTTTCAAAAAACAATAATACAGCTATAGCAAGATGACTGAGCAATGAAAACTAAATAAGACATTCATTATAATTAACTTATTATTAAATTCTATGAAACATTATAAACATAAAATTATATTTTCTCAACAATCCACAAACCTTTTTATAACAGTGTTGTGTCCTATAACAATCTTCACCAACGTTTTCCGTGAAGATTGTTATAGGACACAACACTGTTATAAAAAGGTTTTGTGGATTGTTGTTACTCAATGCAGTGTTAAGATTAGTAGTTGTTTTGTATATTTTCTCATTTTGTTTTTATAAAACAAGATATATGAATATTAAGGTTCATGATATCATATACGGAAAATAGCTAATTAATATATAAGAAATATTGTTTTTGATATCAGAAACATTAAAAGTTTTTAAATAAAAATTTATGGATCTTTCTTTAATATTTTAACAAAAATTATTGTTAAATTGGTTAAAAATTTTAACCAATGCACTAAGTTATTTATTTATTAAGAAAATTTATTATGTCATTTACTATAATTTACAATTTATTTACTTAATTTACTAATTTCAGAGAAATTTAGAATAATAATACTCTAGAATAGGATTATCAAGTTTACATTTTATACAAGAAAAAAAACTTATATTATAAAATTACTCTGAGGTTATAATTATTTTATTAACATTTCTCACTCTAGTAATGGAAAACTTTTGATATACTTAAATATCAAAAGTTCATTAAAGAAGACATAAATAGAAAATCTTCTTGACATTTTATACTATCATGCATATGATATAGCTAAAATTATTATTATTATTGTATTGTATTATTATACTTTATACATTACTTTATATTTATACTTATTATACTGTTTGTATCTGTGTTTAAGAATTTCCGATTAAATGACAAGTTTTTAGTATGACTGCTTTCTGTTATGTGAAGATGTACTGTATGTGCTGTTGATGTTTCTAGACTTTCACATAATGTATATGGTATGGCACCTGTGCAAGAAAGGACTTCAGACATAATGAGATTTTATGGACAAATTTTGAGTATTTATTAATTTTTTCAGTTTATGTATTTTTTATGTTGTGGGTGCTGAAACAGCTATGTCTATGAAGTCAAAATCCAATACAAGGGTGGACAAGGTGGGCAGCTACCCAGGGAGGCAGATTGCTAGGAGTGGAAAAGTTGGCTAAAAAAATAAAAATAATAAAACATTCTTAATTTCAGATAATCGATTATTTTACTTTTTGAAAATAATTAAGTAATTAAATGTGTGAGATCTGAGAACTCAGATATTTTGATTAAAATTACACTATGCTTATATTTAAAAGGAGCAACAAGTAACTATCTTGCTCTGGGCAACATAATTGCTAGGTTGGCCCCTGTATGAAGTATGTGATTTTGTTTTGTTTGTCAATGGATTTGATGTCTGATCTGTTGTGATAGATTTTTGTCTGTGATTATGGCTCAGTCATACTACATTTTGTGTGTATTCTTTTCTAAGGTGTGTATTTGTAAAATGATACCTGGATAAGTAATAGTTTGTGTTTGTGTGTAGATTTTGTATTACATTCAGGGATAACATTCAAAATATTTAACAAAGGGTTCGTAACAGAAAATTTTTCCTTAACAATTTTTTTTTTCGCTCAAATAGTGCATCGGAAGGCTCTAGTTTAGTAGTGTTACAGAGTATAATACGTATATTTTAATATTTTTAAAAGAATCAAACCATTGAGAAATGTTACATATGTTTAACAAGGTTCGGAAAACTTTGAAAATGTTAACAACGGGTTCGGCCGAACCTGTGCGAACCCGCTGAATATCACCACTGNATAATGAAAAGGGATAAAATAAATTATAAGAATGAGGTAGAGTACATATAGTAAATTATAAAATTTCCCAAAAGAAAATCATAGTTTTCACTTAAAAACTGATCTAGCTCTGATTTGAAATACAGTAGAGTCCTGAAAACTTGGCCTAATGTGGACCGATTGAGTTTGTGAAAATGCCAGGTTATCGGGAATGGGGTTAAAAAAAGAATGTACGAGTGTTTCCTCAGAAAATACTGTACTGTACTTGTTTGTATTGTTTGCTTGAGAATACAACAGAGAATAAACTGCCCAAATATCCTTAAACAAAAGAAAAGTACATACTTTATGAAGGCATAGAGCCTTTACTACATGAAAATGAAAATTAATGAATACACAGTGTACAATAATTTATCTGATAAAACAGACCTCAGAAAAATACTTTATGAGGCATAAAGCTGTCTATAATGAAAATTAAACTAGGGGTTTTTTGCCCTGCCAGGATGTGGCCGAGTTATCCAGACTGCCGGGTTATCAAGTGCCAAGTTTTTGGGACTCTACTGTATTATCAAAATTTTCAATAATTTCTACAATTACAGTATTTAACATTTCAATGGTAATTCATTAAGATGTTTTTAAGTGCTATTTGTTGATGATGTCACATAAAATGATAAAAAGCTTTATTAAAGTAATATTTGACTTCTTAATTTTGATAGCAAGGTATTTCTTTTGGGTAAGTAAACTAAATTATCACTTAAGAAATCAAGTTAAGTGAATGTGAATCTGTCCAGTTATCTAAATTTGTCCCACTTAACTTAAATAGGGACATTAAATGCTTGATTCACATATAGGGCTAGTAGAGCCAATGATATAATGCCAGTTAAAGTCATCATTAAGTTCAAACTTAATGATGGCTTTAACTGACTTTATCCTTCTATTACCTATACAACATCTGACAAACATCAAACTTCTAATTTTATCTATAATTTTCAATTATGCAAATATGATAGTTCTTAACTCTGCTAAATTTTTATGATGATAAATGCCTCTGATATGTAATAACCTTTAATTGATTAGAGTCTATCAAAGCCTACATGAATAGTTATATTATTGATAAAATATTGATTTTATCAATGATATACCAGTATTCAGAATATGTTTTGATCACAAGAAAGTTTTATCTTTTTGATTTATTTATTGTATATTTTATTATTAAGAACAAAATGATCGAATTTAAGATACACAAAATTTTAAAAACACCATAACATTTTAATATTTTATATGCTGGATCATAAAAATACTTTGTACAAGTAATAGAAGTAAGTAAAGAATTGGGAACATTTTGATGAAATTAAAAACTTTTCATTAATGTTATGTGGAAATTTATCTATTCTTAGCAGTTCTCTTTTTATTAATCAATTTTGATTAAAAATCACCTTTTTACTTAGTTCATTTTTTTTTATCAGTAACAATTCATAAAATATTTAGAAAAGAAAAAGTTGTTCTCTCAGAATAAGAACTTTGTTACTAAAATATGATTTTCAAGTTATGTGGTTTATATGTGATTTTTAACACTTCAAAGCTGTTAAAAATCACCATATTAGTTTTAGTACTGTATTTATCATCATCTAATGTTAAGGATTTTACTCCTAAATAGTTATAATTTTTTCATTATTCTAAATCTTCTATAAATTTTTCCATTTTGGAAAAATTATTTGTAAATAGACATATTTATAGACATATTTTTATCTCATTTTTCTTTCTGATATAATCTGTTTTCTTTAATTATATATTGCATACACTCCGAATAAAATATTATATGTTAACAAGAATTGTTAAAATGAAGAAGAGAATAATGGCAATAATAGAAAGCACTGTTGGTGTTATATCAGCACTCTGCCTAGTCTTTGTGCCACCTTCTGTGCCACTATCCTTTGTTGATACTGGTGGGACATTCTGCTTGTCAGAGGGGAAGATGGTGGTGGAAGAGGGGGAGGTGGATATGGGGTTCGAGGACTTCGAGGAGGGGAAATTTTTCTTGGAAGGATGGTGGGCAAAGGTGGAGGTGTTGGTGGTGTCAGATGAGGAGGGTATGAAGGTATGGGGCGGAAATGGCCGTAGCCTCGTCCCCCCTCTCTGGGGTGGATTGCTGGTACTAAAGGGAACCTCAATTGTTGGCTCTTGGGGTCTTTGATTGCTTTCTAATACTTGGACATAAACTTCAATTTTAGCCTATCAAAAAATTAATAATTAAAAAATTTTAATATAAACATTAAAATTTACATTTATATTTTTTAATATTAGCTATACTGCTTAAATAAATTAAACTTACAGTTTGATGTCCATCATTTGCAGTGATGAATAAATAAAAATCACTTCCAGCCTAAAATAAAAGAAGCAGTATTATAATTATTTAAATTTAAAAAAATAATTTAAAGTCTACTGTTTTAATAAAAGACAATAAAAAACAGCAAGCTTTTATAAAGAACTATATTAATTATTCAAATAAGTATTTTTGGGACACTTGGTATTTTTAAATTCACAAAAAACTTATTAAAGAATTAGACAAATAAGTTTTATAACCACATATAAACCAAAAAAATAAAATTTAATATAGATTTTTATGGTTTTTCAAATAAAATCTAAAATCAATATTCTTAATACATGCTTAATATTTATCCACCAATTCAAACTACATTCTCCCAGATAATATTAAACTGTTGCTGTATGATGATTTAACATACATTTATATAAATCATAAAATTATGATGTATTAATATTATTTTAATCATTGATGTTTTTATGAAGACTACAAGATTATTTTCATATTGTTCATTATAATCCAAATCCAACAATATAATTTTTTTTGTTCTTCTTTTTGACATTTGTTAACTTCTTATCTATTTTTACTCTTTCTCTTATTCAAAGTTCTTAAAATATTATTATAAAATATTTTTGCTTCTTTCTGGTTAATATTTTAATGATGCATATTCAGTTAGTATTGTAGCCTCTTTTTATTTTAAAATATATCACTTTTATATTCCTGAATTCTTAGGCTTCTTTTAGTATGGTACTTTCCATAAATCTAATATCTTGTTCATAATGAAAAGGGATAAAATAAATTATAAGAATGAGGTAGAGTACATATAGTAAATTATAAAATTTCCCAAAAGAAAATCATAGTTTTCACTTAAAAACTGATCTAGCTCTGATTTGAAATACAGTAGAGTCCTGAAAACTTGGCCTAATGTGGACCGATTGAGTTTGTGAAAATGCCAGGTTATCGGGAATGGGGTTAAAAAAAGAATGTACGAGTGTTTCCTCAGAAAATACTGTACTGTACTTGTTTGTATTGTTTGCTTGAGAATACAACAGAGAATAAACTGCCCAAATATCCTTAAACAAAAGAAAAGTACATACTTTATGAAGGCATAGAGCCTTTACTACATGAAAATGAAAATTAATGAATACACAGTGTACAATAATTTATCTGATAAAACAGACCTCAGAAAAATACTTTATGAGGCATAAAGCTGTCTATAATGAAAATTAAACTAGGGGTTTTTTGCCCTGCCAGGATGTGGCCGAGTTATCCAGACTGCCGGGTTATCAAGTGCCAAGTTTTTGGGACTCTACTGTATTATCAAAATTTTCAATAATTTCTACAATTACAGTATTTAACATTTCAATGGTAATTCATTAAGATGTTTTTAAGTGCTATTTGTTGATGATGTCACATAAAATGATAAAAAGCTTTATTAAAGTAATATTTGACTTCTTAATTTTGATAGCAAGGTATTTCTTTTGGGTAAGTAAACTAAATTATCACTTAAGAAATCAAGTTAAGTGAATGTGAATCTGTCCAGTTATCTAAATTTGTCCCACTTAACTTAAATAGGGACATTAAATGCTTGATTCACATATAGGGCTAGTAGAGCCAATGATATAATGCCAGTTAAAGTCATCATTAAGTTCAAACTTAATGATGGCTTTAACTGACTTTATCCTTCTATTACCTATACAACATCTGACAAACATCAAACTTCTAATTTTATCTATAATTTTCAATTATGCAAATATGATAGTTCTTAACTCTGCTAAATTTTTATGATGATAAATGCCTCTGATATGTAATAACCTTTAATTGATTAGAGTCTATCAAAGCCTACATGAATAGTTATATTATTGATAAAATATTGATTTTATCAATGATATACCAGTATTCAGAATATGTTTTGATCACAAGAAAGTTTTATCTTTTTGATTTATTTATTGTATATTTTATTATTAAGAACAAAATGATCGAATTTAAGATACACAAAATTTTAAAAACACCATAACATTTTAATATTTTATATGCTGGATCATAAAAATACTTTGTACAAGTAATAGAAGTAAGTAAAGAATTGGGAACATTTTGATGAAATTAAAAACTTTTCATTAATGTTATGTGGAAATTTATCTATTCTTAGCAGTTCTCTTTTTATTAATCAATTTTGATTAAAAATCACCTTTTTACTTAGTTCATTTTTTTTTATCAGTAACAATTCATAAAATATTTAGAAAAGAAAAAGTTGTTCTCTCAGAATAAGAACTTTGTTACTAAAATATGATTTTCAAGTTATGTGGTTTATATGTGATTTTTAACACTTCAAAGCTGTTAAAAATCACCATATTAGTTTTAGTACTGTATTTATCATCATCTAATGTTAAGGATTTTACTCCTAAATAGTTATAATTTTTTCATTATTCTAAATCTTCTATAAATTTTTCCATTTTGGAAAAATTATTTGTAAATAGACATATTTATAGACATATTTTTATCTCATTTTTCTTTCTGATATAATCTGTTTTCTTTAATTATATATTGCATACACTCCGAATAAAATATTATATGTTAAATCTATACTATTAAAATTTAAAACCAATTCCCGTTGTTTGACTTTCGTTTATTACATAGCATGCATTCTAATTAAATATAGGAGCGCATCTTTTCATCAAAGAAAAAGCACGCTCATATTTTGTAATGCAGCAAAACGAGGCCACTCCTAACTAAAAAAAGCTCGTATGTAAATCTAGCGCCGGGGGTCAAACGGTCAACTGGCTAAGAACGAAATCCTGCTAAACAACAGTTTGTATGTGATACCAACGCGTGTGCAGATAAGTATCGATATTTACATTCCAATATACACTCTATTAGAAGATTATTGCGCTTAAAATATATATAATAATTCTTCATAAATGTATGTATATATCTGATGATTAAAATTTTCTCATTTTCTGAACCCAATAAATATTACTGTCGGTTATCGAATATATATTAACTTTGATCAGGTTCATCAGTTTGTCCCAAATGTCCTCTAAAATAGGGCGTGCCTAGTAGTTTGACTAGACGGTATTGGGGAACAATGAAAGGTGTTTGATGCAACCTTGACTGTGTTTTTCTTATCCTTCGTCTAGTTACTGAGAAAATTAACCTCTTCAAGGTCACACTATAAAAATGTTCACTCACTCTTAGACTTCCGAATATTCTGAACTATCAATATAGTAAGCTCAGTTCATTGGCCACTAAATTTTAATGCGCTCCCTACTGATCCTCAAAACGTATCGCTTGTTAACAAACAGCCCACACTAACATGCCCACCGAAATCAAACAAGTCGAGTGCTGAGTCAATAGGAAAACATAGCAACAATGCAAAGCATGACCTTCAGGAGTGGTTGCTTCAAGTCGTGATTCTTCGAACTTATATAGGTAATATATTTAAGTATATTTAAAATGGATGGATTGATTTAAGTTTACTTCTATCTTCTGACCCAATTTTTTACTCTATAATTAACTTCTTCATAAATCGAGTCAAATCACTGGCAACAAGTAATAATGATTGATTCTATACAGTATGTAATTTTGCCCCTTTGCAAAACTGTCAACCGCTACAAATATAAATTTAAAAGAATAACACAATTTAGGAAGATCTTAAAAACAGATTTTGGAGCAACAAATAAATGGATTTATAAAAAACAAAGTCTTCATTACTCACCAATCCTTTCAGAGGATTATCGAGAATGACCACGCCACTCTTTTTATCGATTTTAAAATAACTAGAACCATCCAGAAAAACAGATGGTTCGATGCCGTACTCGATCGGATCCCCGTCATCATCTTTAGTGTCCACAGTAGCTATTCTACTGCCTAGAAAAATTTAAAAAATAACTTTAATACAGAGATTTCTAGCGAGATGATTAGATGAGATAAACTCGAAAATCCTAAATAGAATGAATATCTACTAGTCACAAAACAAACAAAAAAAAAGTTTGTTTTAATAATCTAAATAAAAATTATCTACTAATATAATAAATTTTGCGATTTTATTATTTAAAAAATTAATTTTAAATTGCTAATATTTAACTAAAAATCATTGAAAACTAGCAAAAAACAGCATTAAAAATTCTTCCTTTTCAGTACTACACGCTTAAAGGTCAATTTGACAATGTGCTGCAATCCCGGTCTAGCATACTTAAGCGTCATCACACCCTAGTTCCACGCCTGCCATCAACAACATTGGGATGCTTAAGTCACGGATCGTCGTAGAACTACCATCTTTTCCTTACAGCATCAGAGTCTGAAGTTTTTAACCGAAACAACACGTCGTGAACTGATAAGATTAGAAGAAATCAACCATTTACACGGTCATTATAAAAGTAGAGTCTATGCTTGGCTTAGGGCTTTGACCTTGTTCTCTTTCAACAAAGGAGCAGCAAATTTCTGAATCACGCCCTTTCCAGTTCATTGACCACGGATTCTTTACTAAAATGCGAAGGTTGTATTGTCCAAACATGAATACTGTTAATTTTATCGTGCACGCGTTTTAAATTGATTTCAAACTTTTTTCTTACATTACAACTTCATAAACGTATGCATGAAAATAGTAGTAATTTGTTATCTGGTTTAAACGCTTAAAATTAATTTTAAAAAAATATTAATATAAAATATTAGAATTTTATTAGTTTTGTGTAGTTAGAAAATCGAAAATTGTGCACAAAATATTTAACTTGTTTTCTGCACCAAATCCCCGACCACTTCCTCAAAAAACTGGGCTGGGACCAACACCGGGCCTCAATCTAGTTTAATTTTGCCAGAGGCCGATTCGACAGATTGTACCGATTTTGTATTAGTTACGTTCCATCTCCTAGCTGCAACTAATTGCAGTTCAAGTGGATTATTAGAAAAGCGTGTGTATCGTGCAAAAATACTCACCGACGGGTTCGTTTTCTGGAATTAACCATTCTCTTTTGAAGTCGAATACTGGAGGTGTATTTTGATTCGTGAAAGAATAACCTGTGATAAAATAGAAAATGGTAATTTTTAATACTAAAATATACGTTATAAACTAAATAAAATTTCAATAAAAATTAATTTGTTAAATTATTTCCTATTATTAGTTTATAATTTAATCTCTTTTCGATGTTCAGTTCTAATATATACTGTTTTAATATAAATTACACGTTATAAGTACGACAGACGTCCGTTGTTACGCATCATTATCAACAATATTCCTGCAACGAATAAATCTATTAAGGTTTGCATAGCTGAGGAAAACTAAAATTAAACAAAAAACATGAATAATATAATAAAAAACACTCGATTAATCTAACTTTCTGTTTAATTTTAGTGCTTTTTTAGTTAAGTAAATCTTAAAAATTATTTACACTCAAGAAATGAATTGTCCGCTGATATCCGTAATGAATCCAATTAATAATTATGAATTTAAGATTTAAAACTATACGTTAGCACATGTGTTTCTGTAATTAAAATAAATGAAGAGAAACGTACTGTATATGTTTTAATTGTTATTTTAATTCTAAATATTTATATACTTCTAGATTTTATCATAAGTAGCTGCTTAGAGATTACAGCATATTACAATTGCGTTTATTTATTAGATATAGGTTTACTACCTTATTGGATACATTTATATTCGAAGAATCTGTTTAGCGATAAATTGATCATGCCCTATATTTTTCCATATTCCGATGAAAAAGTTTATGAAGAAAATTTTGTTACTCAAATATGACTCGTACCTATTGTTATATCCCAGAGAGAACATGTGATACATCATGTAATGATTGACATTTTTAGGGAAATTTTGTTTGCAATTTATTATAAAAGTATTTAACAAAAATACATTGAAATATCTTGAGTGTTTTTATTTTAAATTGACGTAAAAATATTAAAGATGTTACAATATCAAACATGATAGTAAGTGGTACTTAGGTAACAAAATATAATTTGATACCTAAGTATTGAATTATCAATTTTAATATATATTTAATTATACTGTATGAGTAAATGCTAATTCAATACATTTCACCAAATTAACAATTTTTGAATACATAACATACATATATATTATGTGTATACTGCATTCCAAATACTTTATACACCATCTTATATAATTAACATTTATATATCGAATATATCTTTTCTTTTAAATTATACCTGATTTTTTCTGACAATATAATTGTAACGTAAATAATTATCTTCATTTTTATACGCTAGCCTATTTACATAAATAATAGGTGTTAATAATTGCTTACGTTATTCATCATTGTGTTTATTTACTTATATAGATAGTCACTTAGATTAAATGCACGTATGAATTTTAATATTGCTGTATTAGAAATATTAAAAATTAAGTAAAATGATTCTATAATATACACAAAAATATGTTATAGTGCTAATTATTATCTGGAAGCCAATCACTACGCTTGCTATAATGTCTATAGTAATAAAAATGAAGACAACACCCAAACAATGCGGTATAACTTGTCCACATTGTTTAATATGTCTGAAATAAATGCACTCGACTAGTCTGCTGTTTAGCATTGTAAATATGGCAGACAATGCAGTTTCTTTAATGTATACAAAAGTTTTAACCTGTTAGCATTTGAGATCACTAGAAAAATGTAGTTTTTCAGTTTGATCTGGTTCTTAACTTATATGCCTTTTTTTTAAAAATAAATATCAAAACTAGTAAGTAACGTAGTATATAACTTAATCCAATATTCATCTTCACAAACTAGATTCTGAAGTAGAATTAACGTGACCTTCATGTCAATTTTACAATTTATACAAAGCAAGAAATTAATCATTTTTGTTAGTTTTTTACTCTATTCATTTTTGATTCTTTTAAGGAGGTCAACTATAATTAACTTTGATATAAAAATATCTATTGTTAAAATGTAAACCTGTTTCGAATACGTGGCAATTCTGATTCAATAAGCTTAAAATAAAATTTCTGAACCATTTTTTTCCGGAAAAGAATAAAATTTGATCACATTCATTCTATTGTTATTAAAATTGCAATGATTATTTAAAATTTATATATATAGATTAAGTATATGGCCCAAAAATTATATATATAGGCCTATATATAATTTTTGGGCCATATACTTAATAAACTTATTCATGTAACAGAAGTTATTCATAGCAACTTTTTCCCAAACAATAGAATAACGTTGATTCGAATGTAATTACGTTTATTTATGTGAAGAGGGCATTCCAAAACTATCTTTCATTGTAATCATCTAATTATGATCATCAACTTGTGCATTTTTGCCTCTAGTCAGCGTACGAAAAACTACAGGGCCAGTACTCTCTGATTGCAACGCATTGAAACCGTCAGTTTGCAATTTGCAAAAATTATTCTGCATCCGATAATAAATACAGGCATAAATACCTCGAAATAAATATTAAAATTATGAAGAATATTAAGATGCATAGAAATTCAACAAAAAAATAATGCATAATAATGTCAAAAATGTATCTAAAATCATATTGTTTTTAGGTATTATATTTCCTAATTAATGCATATTAGAATAAAGATTATATGATATATTCACATGTTAATATATATTCTGCAAATGCGTCTTTAAGAAAGAAAAAAAAATTAAATTAATTTCGAACAACTACTCGATGCTCTCATGCATTTCGAAAAACTCACTTTGGCATATCACTCTATTATATAATTTCGATTTAATTAATTTCTCCAGCCCTTTCATTTCAGTCTATTAATATTTTCAATAATAAAGCTCATTAAATTAGAAAAATGACTGCATTCTCCTTGGTTGCATAACGACACAAGATCTATTCAGATATCGATTTTTGAATTAGCAAACCGATCTAGATTTTGCTCTTTTTTTAGTTTCAGCACAGCTATCTCGAGTCCAACCAGTCTTGCTGACTTATAATTACAGTGTCTGTTCGGTGAACATGCCCGAGGACATAACTCAATCCCACTCGAATTACAGCAGCTGTGTGGCTCCACCAACCAATGTTATGACGTGAGGACATGCGAGGCCACTGACAATCGGCGTTAAGTCTTAACTAGTGGTTAGAACATAATCACGAAGCCAATAGTAATAACTGCAGTGCTAATGATCATGCTGCTTCAATATATATATATACACGTATTTTTTGTTTTCTTTTTTTTTATAAATTTTAACTCAACCTTCAAGAATTTCCTTCTATTGTGGTTTTCTAATCGTTCGTGCCAGAAATTCGTCGAATTATCCAAACATTAAAACCTATATTCTGGCAGTATATATAGATTTTTATTTCGGGTACGACATATATTGAAATCATCAAAGCAAAAATAAATTTTATGAAGTAAATGTTAAAGAGTCTAATAATTATTAAAAATTATCTTTAATTTTATAATTATTATTAAGAAATTATAATATTTTTACTTATAAAACTAATCATTTCTCTAGATAACAATAGAGATGATATATTTTTTAAAACGTTAAGAGTTAATATTTATGTAATAATAGAAATGAAAGGTTTTAAAGTTAAAATTTGAAATATTATCAGTTTTAAAGGGAAACTGTTCTTAAAATATTTAATTTTTTTTAATAGAAACTAACAACTTAAAACTTTTACTTAGAAAAGTTTTACTTAAAAGCGAAGCTTAATCACAAAAAATTTTAACCACTTCTTAACATCTCTCTATACAGGATGGTGTTCAGCATATTAACATTCAAAAAGCAAAAATAATCAAACCCCATTAAAAAATTAACAGCTAAAACAGGCTTTTATCGTCTACTAAGGGTATTCCCCTAACATTTACTAAATATTTATTGCGATCATGAATAATTCCTTTCTTTCTTTTTTTTTTCTAATTCGAGGTAACTCTTCATCTGTCCTTGAACTTATTGATAATTGTTTCATTTATAATGCTAGTATCATTCATAGACATCTAATTTATTACTTTAGAAAGCATTGATAAGATGTATTTTGCATTTTACATTGTCCGCTACACAAATCTCATTAAAGAAAAAATGCACTCATTCAATAATTTATGCTGCTCTCGCTTTTATTTTTTTTTTTAAATAATTAGTAGAGAAATCATAAAACTGAATTTTATAGCTAATTTTAAATGAATTTCGATTATAACTTAATTATTTTGAATTCAATGTATCATTGTTATTGTTAATTATATTGATAGTTATATAGCATAACATTTCTAAACACCGGAAAAATGAGGAGTTTGCTTCTGATCGCGAGATACTTTCCAAGAAATCTACAACAGAAATGTTATACAAATTTACGTATTAATAATCAAGAATAATTCGTAAAATTGATATAAAATAAATCATAAGATCATAAAAAACTGTACTCGTTTTAGTGCGCTCCAGTTTTTCTTACTTTAGATGAAGGTGCGCTCTTTATATAGCGAAAGAATGGAAAAGTTTAAAATCTGATTTTTTGAACAACCGTGATTTAGTTCTGGAAAAAATTCTCGTTCCCGATCAATTTTCTATGATGTATAAATCAACTTCAGACAGAACCGAGGCCTCTTCAGAGGTACCAATTAAGCCTAAGTGCACTTATTTATGCACCCGAGGCAACGTGGCCATTTCGTGCTTAGAATTCTTAGCATATATATTTATAACAATTTGCTATTGTTTAACTGCGAACGATGCGCTTGGCCAAAAGACAAGAGTGGAAGAAGAAGAAAAGTTAATACCCGAGAAAGAAAACATAACATACCTGTCGGTAGCAGCATGACGAAAAAGCTGGCTAGCAGACAGCGTAACATTTCCTAAGTAATAACTTGCCGGGTGCCACTATACGATATCAGAAACCGAAGACATTCCATGGTAATAAATACAGTATGAAGAGAAACTCCGATATTCTCATTCCTCCTCCGTCGTTTACTTAAAAAACACGACTGGGTGTCCTCTTCTGGCGCGTAGTGACGTCTGCTATCCCAGAAATCACTGCTATGGCCCGTAACGCCTCGGGGCCAAGGGCCACTAGTCTGCAGCATCTCGGACCCAGCCCAGTCTTGACTCTAGATCGTCCTTGTCCTATATATATACATATATACGGATATATTTATGTTGCGTTGTATATTTTAAAGATATTACCATTAACTACGTTAAAATAACATTTTCCGCGAGTTGAATGTACTTTTCCATCGTCCTTTGTTATTAAAGAATAAAATTTATACACATTTTTTTTTTTAATTAGAAACAAATGATTGCTTTTTTACGCTCCAAGAGCACTAAGAAACATACGTATTTTTAAATTTAAAATATAAATTTAAATGAATTCTATTACGTTTTATAATAAAGCTTAATTTAAAATGACCCTTTGATTTTAAATATTAATATATTTAATATAAAGTGATATCAGTATTTTCATTTATATAGGTCTATGTGAAAATACTGTTATCAATAAAGACGTTATTAACGTTAAATTATGTATTTTGGCTGAAATTCATACGACCAACTTCAACAAACTTTCAGTTATTAAGTTAATTATGTTTCATTAAAAGTGTTATTCTACAATATTATTTCAAAAAATTATTTAGTGAAAAAAATTTATTACAACAAGATATTTATTATAACAAGAAGACAGAAAGAGAGTTTTCATTTTAAAATTTTTTAATTTATTAATTTGTTTCTTACAAAACGAAAGAAATTGGAATCATTTTGCTAGGAAAGTACATTTGTTGGTTTTTACATTACATTACGTTACATTAAATTATCAAGAATTATTAATAGGAATTACATTTTAAAAAATTTTATAGTAAATGAGCTAATTTAATAAATAAAATTAAAATATTGAATAAATTCAATGCCTAAGAATAATGTGAATCTATTATATATAAATATATATATATAATATGTTTAGAAAATGATAAGAAAAC